GTCCGGCAGTAATTAACTATGATCATGGAGCATGCAACTATTGTGACACTCGGGGAGCTGATTTTCCCTATGCAATAAAACGAAGGCGCATCCCTAGGAATCTCCAGAATCCACATCTTGGATTTTCTGTGATCAAGGACTGAGCAGGACCGTTCGGGAAAATGGAACTTACGTGTATTGTGTTGCTAAATTTTGCAACTTTACCGTTATTATACCCCAAGAAAAATGCTCTCAACCGTGCAAAAAATATTCAGGAATACACATGCTCTTCCTGGTAGGCCTCGAGTCCCGGAAAATTTGAGGTCCTCCTGACGACCCATGATGACCTCAAAATCGAAAAATCGGATTTTATTGGCACCAATAACTATGTTGCGATTTTTTTTCGCTTTGAGAAAGCGGATTCTGATCATACACTGAAAAACTAGGGTAGCGAGAAAGTAAAAACCTCCAGCCGTGGGAGCCTTCTTTTAGGGCTTATAGATATCCCGTCCGCGTTCCGGGCTTAATGGCCGGAAGTTCCGGGCGCACCACCCGGAGCAATCGTCGGTACGGCTCCAGCACCCGAAAGTTTTGGCCCCTGAGCCCGGAATGGACGGTATGTTCATATAGTCTGTAACTTTATGTTTCGGTGTATATATTCGATGAATCGAATGACTTAGGCATTCAATTAATCAATTTCTGTATTCTCGAGAGCATCACGGAATTTTTGGCAACGTCTGTCGCTAAATTCAACACACACCGTGCATGTTCTCACCTGTCGTCGTCACCTGACAAAGGCGATTCGTCCTGGCGCCCTCTCCGCCCCTCCCGCCGGTCGCGAAAAAGGGGGAAAAGGGAAAGGTGCGCGTGTGTACAAACGACAAAAAATAAGCTCTCTCACCGGCTTCATGCAGGTATTAATAAAACTAATGACACAATTCCGGGGCGCGAAAAAAAGGCGGGAAAAATAAAAGTTATTAATTTGTAGAACCTGGCGTAACGTTGTCTCCGGGAGGGGCGCAAAGGGGTTCTCGGAGCGCGGTGTTGCCAATTTTCGCACTAAAACGCTGTCTTCCATTCGCTTCAAATTATTGCACCCGATAAAAAATGTAGATTCACTACCCCATGTTGCGTCTGGGCGCACCTCCAGGTGGCTGCATTCAGGGCGTCGTAAGTCTTAAGTGGACGTCTTGCTAAAAGGAACTATGTTCTATGCAAACCCTATGCACATGGTTCCTTTTAGCATAAATGCGGCCAAATGAGTGAAGAAATTGATGGTAAAAGTCGCAGAACACTTATCCCAGTTTGCGACGTTGGAAATTATAACTTGTCACGTTTTATTTTTCAAAGAAAAACCAATGCAATATTTTTTTGGAATTTATACTGATTTTTCTTTATCCTGCATAGAATACTGTAAAGAAAAATGTTGCATAAAAATATTCATACGTTTTTCTTCATAAAATGAAGCAAAAACGGTGATTTTAAATAGCTTCTGTAATCGAGACAAATGTTCTGTACCTTTCGTGATCGGTATCGTAGAATTATGACGTTATGGATATTCCTGCTGTGACCTATGATGTCGTTTCTGTGATGCTCTGATAATTGATTTCTTGTGGGTTTTTTTTTCTCAAATTTTCGAACAAAAATGACGTAATATAATAAGGATTAATACATGAACCTTGATGCTCATATTTGTTTTTACTTACATAATATAGTACATGCAGAGGTGGGAGCTACAAACGTTTACATCACGTTTACATTTCCCCCGAAATATCTTTAACTGACTATAACTATTCTTCTTTATCACTTGCAAATGGATGCCATGAAGAAACTGTATACTGAACCAACTCTGAGTCCACATTTGATTCCAGATTTGGCATCAAAGTGAGGGGGTGCATGCTAAGGGCGAAGAGAGGCGTGGTGGTTCAACAGTTTCTGCAATGCGTAATTTTCTATTTTCTCTCTTCACCTTTTATTGCCTTTCATTTCCTTTTTTCGCGAACGTTTCCAGCTGCAGTCTATTTGGATTTTTGTTGACGGTCGGATAATACTGTTACATGAGGTGTACTTGACCTGACGGATCTCATCGTAAAAATAGATGCAAATATTTATAATTCTCTTTCGCAGAACTTTCATGCTAAGTTATTTTTGTGAGGATTAGTACGCCAAGAAAAGCCTCTAAAGAGGCCTCTAAGAAAATGCACCCACTTATTTTCCTTCAAATTGACAATTTTTTGGTGAGTGGCAAAACCATTTGCTATTCTGGAAGATTTTTTAGGTAATTATGAAGAAGCAACATTTTTAAAAACACTGTAATTGTACTGATTCCTTTTTGCTACATTCGATCCAATTTAGTAACATTTAAATGAACTTTACTCTCTCATTCTGCCGGGCTAAAGAAGAGCGCCGTATGAACATTCGAGAGTTGCCACGTTATTCCGGATAAAAAATATTTTTTTAAGGAAGCTGGTGCACCTTTTTCATTGACATTTTTAGATATTTTAGATAAAATTAAGAACAAAATTGTCTGAAAAATTGGAAGGGAAATATTAAAAAACTTTCCAGAAAATTCGCGATTTATCAAAGGAAATTTGGCAACGCCTGAAGACTCATATGGCGTTTTTCCTTAACACGGCAGCATTGCTGCCAAAATTCCAGAATCGCTGGTCGTTTCGAGAATCGAGGGAAAACCAGCGATTGATCGAGCGGCTCCAACGTTGCGTTTCCAAAAGTCTGTCTGTTGAATTACCAGGATCCTTTATGTAACAGCGGGATACATTCTCTGCAAATGAGAGGCAGAAGGCCCGCTTGAACCGGGGATTTGCCGTCGCCCAATTATCGAGAATCTGTATTGTATTTACCAGTACGTAGATTTCAAAAGAGGACCAAAACCTTAGCTATCACAGTGTTGTCGAAATGGTGAATGCTCCTTTCAAAGCCCATGCAAGGAGCTTAGAATATAGGGACAAGGGTGTTCCATATTTTGCAATTTCATGAAATTTTGTAATTTAAAAGTGGATTTAATCAGCTAAGGTTGCGCGTGATGTTTCGCGGTCCGCGCACTACACTGGAAAAAAAACCACATCGGATCCAGAGTCCAGATTCTTGAAAATATTGACAAGAAAAAATACTCTTGATTCGATCAGATTTTTTCTTAAATCAAAAGGAAATCCGCTCAAATTAAGAGGCTTGGTTCTTGATCTAAGCAAAAATCCGATGGAATCAAGAGCATTTTTTCTTGTTGATGTTTTTAAGAGTCTGGACTCTGGATCCAATGTGTTTTTTTTCCAGTGTATAAGAAAAACCCCATATTTTTCCGCTTCGTGGATCTCTCATAATCTTATTCGGCTGCATGTTTTTTTAAACGTTGGTAATATTTTCGTGTCAAGGATTTTTGGATGTCCGTTTGATAAAAGAAAAAATTGCTTCATCATAGCAACTATGATGACGCTTTTCCGAAGGTTTGAATTTGCGAGTTCTTCAATTGCGTGAGGAATTTTTACAAATACTGAAATTTCATCCCTCTTTACCGGCAAACTATATCATTGTTTTTATTGTTATGAATGCATGTTTTACACTATTATGTAAGTGAGGCTTGTATAAAAACAGTTGTTCAATAACTTCTCTTACAATTTGAAAGGATTAAGATTCAAAAAATGATTCAAATAATAAGTATGTATGCGGTGAATCAGCAATCCGAATGCAAACTACTTTTTCAATGTTGAAGAATCAAGATATCTGACATGTTTTACTTGAAATTTATTCATCAAACTAAATAAGCTATAGAGAAGACTGCGTACGAAAGTAAAGAGAGGAGTGAAAATTAAGTCCAGCAGGGCTCAGGCGACACCCAAAATTTAACGTGAATTTAAACGATTTTTAGGAAATTTCACAGGAATAAGTCTAATGAAATTTTACATTCGTTTGAGAACACATGCATCTGTGAGAGGTTAGTGGGCGATTGATCGTAATTCATTTGACAACAATGGATTATATTGCCCATAATTGTTTGACGTCCGAGGTCACGTCGGCGCCGCTGCACTTTCTTGGAGAATTTGGCGGGGTCGCTACCTGTCCTCCGACGCGAGATCATAACTCCAACATAATTCAGAAGAACATACGGTGCTCTTGTTTAACGCTATGCAGAACATGCCTTTCATCAATGTTGCTCCTAGGAACTAAACTGGTGGAGGCATAAAGATGCTGCGAAAAAAGCACGTCTCTCCATTGTGACGATTCAAGACCTCCACCGTTCCTTTTCTTTTTACAATGTAACGACTTCCTTGACTTTTCTTTGTACGATGTAATGTCTTACTGCATCGAACGACAAGCGTTCTTCTGTTTTCCTATGTAAAATTTACATAGGAAAACAAAAGAACGCTTGTCGTTCGATGCAGAAAAAATAGTAGGAAATGTAAAAAATTCTGTCGATTACTTTCCTTCCGGAAAATTTAAATGTTACGAGAAGTCTGCAACTTTGTAAATCGAGATACGTGTTTTTCGACTCTTTCTGTAGGTCAGGGCATCATAAAATGACTTTTTTTGAAGATTTTTTCGTTGAAAAGAGAAAATTGTCCAACAATATACTTACTGTAACTGGTACGCGCGCCGCGCCGCGATGCGTTAACGACACGGTCTAAAACTCCTTCAATTTGCCGTGATGCAATTTGCATTAGTCGCAAGATTTTTTATCGTATATTGACCGACGCGACACTTCATCGACGATCTCACACCATATTGAGATGATTCAAAAGATTAGAAAAGAACCTCCATAGAGGCTCTTTTGTATGCGGATAATTTCGGCAGATTCTGGAAAAAATTGGATTAGTCACACAAAAATCGCTCCCAAGCGATAACTTTGCACTGCAACAGTTTATGGAATATTAAAGTTACTTGATGATTTAAGAATTTTGTATTCTTCATTTTGGCACATTTACAAGAAGATGATGATTGATAAATAATATGAGCTCATGAGTTTTAATTTGTGGTTACCATTTTTTTTTTTTTTTACATTTTTACAGATGTTGCAGTACAATCCTGTTTTCACAATGCCCAATCATTGAGGAGGATACATTCTTAATCCTTGCAGTCCTACCTGCTTTCATCAAGTGAGTAAAATATCAAAAAACACTTTGGGCTGCAGAAGTGATCAACTATCTAGTAGCAGTTTTATTTTCATACATTTAAGAAAATAAAAATCTTTATGGAAGCATCAAACTGCACTAAGATGCGTTAAAAACGAGTAAGTGAGCACAGACGGTTTTAAAGTTTATATTTGAAAAGACTGTGTGCTTCATCACTTAATTCGTTAAAGTGATAGACCTATACAATTTACATGCATATTCAAGAGTATTCGCAAAAAATGGGTATGATAGGGTTGATTGTAGATATTTGACAAAAAAATCCTATAAGAGTTGTAGGCGAAAACGATGTGTTATGGTCAAAGAATTTACAGATACTATAAAGTCCCTCTCCAAAACTCATGTACGTTTCCCAAAGCAGATTACATCATTTTGTTATATCTTCTCCAATAATTGTTCAATTCATGAACCACTGGTATCCTTGTGTTCAGTTCACTCAGTAGTTTCCACATAAACACGAAATTTATCAAATTTCAGACATCTGCACATTCTTAATTTATCAGATGTAACTATCAAAATGATAATTCTTTTGACCAAGTAATGATCTTCTCCCTGAACCCCTTGCCCTTTTCGGGATCGACTCTGCGCGGTAAGACATTTTTTACGGTGCTATCATACAAAGTCCAATTTTTCTACTTTCATTTTTCGATACATCGATGTGTTGAAACGCCAGTGACAATTCTTGCAAGTTATCGCCAGTGCTTACAGCTGGGAGTAATATTTCTGGAGCCGCACAGTAGACCGAGTCAATGGGTGAGGTCGGGCAAAACTGTGAAAGCATATAACTCCGTTTATACATGTCGCAGGCAATTAGAAATCGCCGGCAATTTGCAAGCGGTTCACATGTTGTTTCAATAAATCGCAATACTGCGCATCGGCACAATGCAATTTTTAAGGGTTATGGCCTTCAAAGGTATAAGCTCGGCTTGAAGCGCCTTCATTTTTTGTGATACTCTACACTTTGTCCCGATGTTAGTTTAGTTGCCTGTCCGATCTCAACCCGACTAATGTCACAAAGTTCACTGCGCGCTCTCTTGAGTGCACATATTTCTGTCATGTTTTCAAGGGTGGAAAAATTTCTATGGCAACATAATCAGCACTCTAATCTTGTTCTTTTATTTTTGAATTATACGATTTTCTTCATTTATTTACCACTGGCTTGCAAATTGCCGGCAATTGCTAATTGCCTGCGACATACATAACTTTGAGGGTCTAAAAGTGGTACCTTTGGTTTCCTCGTGAAATTTTATTTCAGAACCACCCTTTAAAATTTAAAAGGTGACGAAATCAAATTTAAAATTTGCAGTTTTAGTCAAAAATTTCATGTTTAACCTTCCTGATTGATTCGATCTACTGCGAGCCGAGGCATTTTTGGTCTGAAATTTTTACGACTTTATTGTCTGCTGACGGCGCGGTTTCTCTAAAGGGCTGCAGAAACAGATTTGCGCAATGGAGAATTTGCACGCACATTTTTTATTGCTTCATCGGAAAGATCTTAAAGAGCTGATTACACAGTATTCTTTACAATTTTTTCTGATATGGGAAATAGTATAAAAATAGATTTAAAAGTGAGAAAATGCACCGCCTAGTGACGTCATCTGGCGGCATTTCCCGTTTAAACACATGTCTTTCGGCAGATTAGATCATTTTGTCACATTTTCTCCTGCAATAATTGTTCAATTCATGAACCAAGGGTATCCTCGTGTTCAGTCCACTCAGTAGTTTCCACTTAAACACGAAATTCATCAAATTTCAGACACCTGCGAATTCTCTATTTCGATCCCGTATGCTTCAAATATCAAAACAGGATTCTTTGATCGGTGTAATCTACCCCTCGCAACCGCAGTTTCACGAACGGCAACGAAAATCAATTCTCCGGGGCCACGGTGTTCGGTCACACCAAGCTCGGGTTCACTTTCATTTTTCCGGCGCATAGATGCCCCCCAAAACTGGAAGGGATGTATTCGGACCCGGGAAATTTTCGACTGCAATTTTTACGACTCCGCTATCTGCTACCGGCGCGGCAGCGTTTCAGCGGCCGAAAACGCGTAAATTCAGCCGAGAGCCCGTCCCCGTCGTCGCTGCCGGGGTCGGGAGAGGGTCATCCCTCNGGGGGGGGGGGGGGGGGCTGAAGTGATGATAAGCAACGATTTATAGGGCTCGCTAAGCCCTTTCCAGTTAAATGAGCACCAGCGCCGAGTGCATATTCACAACTGGCAACAGTCTTGCCGCTTCGAACATGTAAATACGGAATTTCTACCTCGCACCGCGTATTTCCGCAGCTGGATTCGGTTCGTTTTTTGGATGAATAAATTTTGTGTCACCGTTGGAATTTGAACCAATCGGAAATTGAGTATTGAATTTTCAACCGGATTCCAAGGAAAATGAACCAAATCCCGGAATAGGTTAAAAAATGCGTGCCAATTGGACGTATTTCTGTCAAACGGAACTAAGCGCATCGGGGTAGGATAGGAAGGTAGAGGGGGGCTTTGATTGGCGGCGGAACCGGGCGTCGGGCTCATTCCGTCCTATACTCGCAATGCTTTTCCATGGCGCTTAGTTCCGTTTGACAGAAATACGTCCAATTGATTAAGTCTTCGGTCACAGGTCATTCATCTGGCGAAAATGATTGTGATGAGCGTTGAATTCCGAAAGTAACTTTAACACTATAAGGAAGACAGCAGTGCTGAGTCTTTACATTAGGAAGCATTTCTGCCAAACAGAACTATGTGCACTAAGACACGAGCCCTGAGACGCTTTATAACATAGGCATGTCAGGGCCCACGTCCTAATACACTTAGTTCCGTTCGGCAGAAATACGTCCATTACTGTGACTGAACTCGACGAATACCATTAATAACTCCATCGATGGCAAAAATTAAAGTGACGTTGGAATGACATCATATTATTTTTTTAGTTAATTTCCTATTGAATTCTCGATTTCTATTTGGGATTGTAAGTGGCGTTAAATCGGGAACGGTCTTCACTTGCAAGTGAAGTCGGGTGCTTGTTACATGGCCAAAGTATGAACAGATGAATTTGAGGCTGAAACTTTCATTTTCAGCCTTCTACTCGACCAGAGGTGAATTGCAGGTCATCGGTGCATTTCTGGTTTATTCATCCATTAATTATTCATTCAAGTATCCAGCGTTATTTATTTCACATTCGATGACACGCTGAAAAGTCAGATGAAGCCTCTACCACATATCGATGGTGAAAGTATACAAGTGCGTACCTCGATTTTTAACAGTTTTGAGTTAGCTGCATAAACATGTGTTGGAGATATCGTTCATCTGCCAGCAAGACCTCATATCGAAAATAATCGGGAAGCCACCTAAAACCGTAGAACTTCTTTCGCGTACCTCTGGCATAAGTGCAGAAATGCGTATCTCGTTCTGGCCCCTTCATTTGATCCGGCGCGCCTTACGCACAACGCGCGCTCCTCAGCGTATCCCGCCAACAGCATACATCAGCTGATCAGCTGTTCGGGGGTTTTATTCATTTTCAGGAAGTTGCTGGTTTTAAAAAGTTGCTAAATGCTTATCATTCGAGGGTCTTCCAGTATCATTTCTTCATGGGTGTCTAATACTAGCGGCGCGCGGCATTCATGTCCATTATTCTTTTTCTGGGCCAATACAATCATGAACTGACAGTTCATCACAAAAGTCAGTTATATTAGAGTCAATCGAGTCATACAATGCTTCATTCACCGTATTCGATCAACTGAAGCTTCTAAAAAAGTTTGAAGTATGAATAGTAAGACTCCATTTTTTATCTTAATGATCAAGAGCAGGTTCAAAACGCTAATTGCAGAAATGTATATTTCGTGATCATATGTCATTTTCCAATCATACAATGTTTGATCCGGCCGTATGAGATCAAACTAAAACTTCTGATAAGGAATGGCAAGAGTGAAACTCTTATTTCAGTCTTTAAATGATCAAAATCCGCCAACAACAGATTTAAAACACTAATTGTAAAAATACGTAACTCATGATAAAGTGTCAATTCTTAGTGCCGAAAATCTCGAATCTCGGCATTTCTGCCATATTTTCTAACAGTTCAAGAAATTTTTCAAAATGCTGATAGAGTCTGAAAGAGACGTGTTACCGGCAAGTCAATCCTGGAAGTTAGGTTGGACTGAGGCCATGGCCATGGCTAGGTGGCCATGAGACAGACCTTTTAATTTATTAATAGGCTTTGCAGGAAAGGTCTGTGACTACAGAGATCAACAGATTTAAGTGTATATTTTGACTTCATCACTGCAGAAAAATTCAGTTAACGGACTTTACACACTGAAGCGCCTTCGTTTTGTTGGTTAGATTGTCTGGCGTACTGCTTAAGAGTCGAAATAGTTGCATGCTCCATGACTCTACCAAATTATGACCACGATAATAGTCTTTCAGCATCATTCTGTGACTAATCATTACGTCTTTCAGAGATTTAGTGAAATTGGTCTCATGGAGGCTGCTTAGGGTCCAAAAACGACAACTATTTTCGATTTAAAAGGGGTGATTGCCAACTATTGATGATTTTACCTGCATTAGGTGCTACCATTGCCAAGAAATAGATGTTTGCAATTGACTACATGCACGGGAAGAGTTCAGGCATGTCGAAAAGTGGAGCTCTTTTGCCTAAAAGGGCAGCCAACCTTCTACCACAAAAAATGTTACTGCCAATCTTCAGATTCCAATATCAAACCGAGACGAACAAGAATTTTCATTTATGAATGTTCTCCCGAAAAAATGAGTAAATTAATGCCAAAACTAAGTCAAATACGTGCTTTACGAACTACGGGCCGTAACAATTGAAGTAATAAATCACTCTGAATGATTTGAGTTCATAGGTTGGCTGCCCTTTTAGGCAATAAAAGCTCCATGACTTGATCTCAAAATTACCCACATGTCAAATAGTTTTCTATAATGTGACGCTTGGAAGTGGTTTTTAGATGATTTATGCATGTTTCATTATGGCATCCAACTAAATTTAAAAAAAGAAAAAAAAGAAAAAAAAAACAAAACATTTACTAGGAACGTCCAACATTTTTTGCCCCTACACAACCTTTCGTAGTTTCTCATGGCTAAATCTAACTGATTTGAATCTCATATAGTGTCCGAGCTCTCCCCGAACAAGAACTCAATTTTAATGAAATCCTAACTTGAGTTATTTTTTTAAAATTACACTGAAAAAAAAGGTGCTTGGCTCAAGCATGATAATTCTTGAATTTGCCGCCTAGAATTTTTTTTATATTGATTTAAGCTGAAGTTTTCTTGATACAGGAAAAAACAGTGTTTGGGTTAAGCGAGAAAGTAGTTTATATTAAGCAGCAAAAGTCTTGATTAAAGAAAGAAAATTTCTTGGCGGCAAATTCAATATTCTTTTTTCTTCAGTGCAGTTTGTATCAAGCGGAATCAGTGGCATCAATGGTTCTTACGAAAAGTTACACGCGATCACCGGTCGAATCTCTCATTTTCCCCGTCTGGCAGGAGCTGGATTCGAATTTATTTGCGGGAGAAGCGGCAGCTCTGCGGGTTGCATAGCGAGCCGGAGCGGCGCGGCGGGCAAATCCGACTTCTTCGAACTTTAAGTTCTCGCGAAATTAAATGAGTCGCGCGCATGGCGAGGAATTTATGGGCGCGGGAGCAGCGGACGCAATAGTTGGGTCGTAAATATACCCGCGACTGTCCACTTTTGTCAGGGGCGCGATGCAATAAGCCGCGCAGATGCGCTCCCTACCCGCTCGGACTCCCAGCGAGAGGGAAATCACTTCGCTTCGACTCACCTGAATTTTGCGGGCGAGCTCCATCCAGAAAAAAATCCCAGCAGAGATCCCGAGGGACCGTTCATGTTCGTAAATACGTAACGCTCAGGAGGGAGCCGACGTTAGGGGTGCGCTAAGGGGGGATGGTTCAGATTGGTTCGGAGTCGTGTTATTACGTAAACCTTAACGCTGTATTTTTCTTGAAACATTGTTTGAATAAATTCTCTCACCTTTTTTTTAATTCTCCGTTTTATTTTATTTTTTCATTTATTTTTTCGGGTTTGTTTCATTATTCTCCTTTTTTCTCTGAATTCAATTATTAAAAATGTTTTAAAAACAAAGAAATGTTCTCTTCGAAAAGAATAAATGGTTTCCAGCACTTTTGGGTATAATGACCGCATATAATTCAGGATTTGTCCTTCGAAAATTGATAATTGAATTTCATATTTTACGAATAAGTTAATTTTTTAAATCCCTTTCTCTATGTTCCGCAGATAAAGGACACTTATCGTCTCGTACTTTATGAACAATTATAGCATAAATATCATGAGCGGATCTAGACACTTCGAATGGGACGGTCCCCGTCTGAGGGGCTTCTACCAGAAATTTTCGAAAATTTAGGCATCTACAATATAGTTTGAGTCCATTTTGTCATAAATAATTATCAAAAATAATTTTCGTCCCCCCTTCTTTTTTCCATTACTTATTCTCTTATACAGGATCCCTTCTCCTTTTTTCGGGCGATTGGAAAGTGGATTTGGAAGTGGGGGGGGCGTATTCCCCCTACGCCCCCCTTGAATTCATCTATAGGAAAAACTGCTATTTAGGAGAGTTCACTAAAATTTTTATAAATTGTGATCGCTGCACCGCAAACGAATTATGTCCAAATGTAAAGTTTCTCGCTGGCTGGGATTTTCACGCAGAGCTGCTTTATTGAAAACTGTTTTTCATTTGAACAGGCTCCTTGTTTACGAATAGAGCGATGGAAACTATTAATTTCAATGACCTTGATTTTCAGATGAGTTATAGCTCGTTTGTCAACCTCATACACTTACGCGTGACGTTTAGCAAACAAAAGTTGCGGATTATTATCTTATTTCATGTACCGTTTATCCAACAGTTGCGCAATGGTACGGTTCGATCGTTTCACCCGATGAACCTCGTGAGATTTTTATACGAGGCATAATGATATAGTTTCTTTTTGTTTTAAATTTTCCGCAGTTTTCAAGAAAGAGAAAGTAAAGAAGTAAAAGTAGATGAAAGTCACTGCACACGTTACCGCTAAAAGCGCCTTCAATTTGAAATGATACAATATATCCTACAGAAACCTATAAATTACTCGCCTAATGCTCAGTAGCAAAGCACAATCTGTATAACATGTGAATTTTTCCTGATTTTGCAGATGGGTGCTAGTTGGTGCAAAGAGTACTCGGAGAGTGCTGGAGCAGGAAGTTCACTTCAGACATTGCTCACAAAATGGTCCAGTAAAGTAAGTTACAAATTCCCTCTTATTTAATTAATGAGAAGATCAAAACAATTCTATCGGGATGACTCTATACGAAACTATTGCTTTTGAATAATCCACGAAGTCTTAGTTCAAATTTAAACGGAAGACTCAATGCTTCCAGGACTTTATGTACACCTACCTTTCGTCCATTAAATAAATGTCCACCGCTATTCTGCCGTGCTAAGGAAAAATGCCGTATGAACCTCCAGGCGTTGCCAAATTTCTTTCGATAAAACCCGGATTTCCTGGTAAACTTATAAATATTTTCCTTCCATTTTTCAGATAATTTCGTTCGCAATTTCTGCTAAAGTCCCTGAAAATTTCAAGGAAAAATATCCATAACTTTCCTCAAAAATAAACTTTTTATCGAAAGAAATTTGGCAACTCCCGAATGTTCATACGGCGTTCTTCCATAGCACGGCAGTATTCATGTCCACTAAACGTTAAGTTCAGTCTTTATTAAGCCCACATGATTTAATGTCCAACCATAAATATGTCCAAAATTGTCCAAATTGTGGACATGTTATGTCCACATTTTTTTCTTCTCATTTAAATGACAGGAACCACCTCAAGAATAAATGCATACTACTACTAGTTAGTTAGTTAGTATATTTTGAGGTGTTCAACGTCACAGGCTATTAACGGCTTTACAGAGAATTTTGAAAATGGGAGTATATACGAAAATTTAGATTTTTAAAGTAAGAGAGGTGAAGAGCTCCTTCATTCCTAAAAACATTTCATTCATGAATCAAGTCATGAAAGAGAACAGACTCTAAGAGCAGATAAAAACATATCGACGATGAAAGTCGGCAATCACATAACTCGGTTTGCGACGTCGCAGACTTCCTGTCATACTTTATTTTTTAAACGGAAAACTACTCAACGGTAATTCTTTAAAACTGCCGTGATTTTTCTTCTATGTGCGAGGAAAATTCTGCAAAAACTTCAAGGAATCATGTCCATTTGTTCTCCTTTAAAAAAATAACATAGTTGCGGAGATTTTCAGACACCGCAAACGAGTTATGTGATTGCAGACTTGCACCGTCGATATGTTCATGTGTGAAAACCAAAGCGGGAGCCTAGGAAACGCTTCAATGCCAAATTAAACATTTTTCAGTAACAGATACAGTCAAAATTGAAAGTCCTCTTTAACTAGTTATTTCGTGCGCCTTCAATCTTGTAGGATACTGTGCAACGCCTCTGACGCGAAATAGTTGCTTAAAGTGTTGTGGCGCGGCAAGTAACCAGCGTGACACGCGCATAGGCGCCTACAAACCTAACGGGATACTTCACGCGTTGCGCAATGCGTGAAGTATCCAGTTAGGTTTGTAGGCGCCAGTGCGCGTTCTGCGCTGCTAACACGCCGCTCCGCTCTGTGTTAGGCTCTAATATTTAAACTCGCGGAGTCTGCGTTTTTCAACTCATGATTTTGAAATGTTTGCACTCTCTGCATTGATTGTCTGTTGTGATTTGTTTATAAAATGAAGTAATCAATTTCATTAAAAAAAAAGAATGTGCATTCAAGGCATATTTTAGATCGGAGATTTCAAGGATAGAAATGAAACCAAGTATTTACCAAAGACAATTTGAAGAGATGAATCAAAAGAAGAAATTAACATTTCATTTAAAATATGAGTTACAATAACAACACCTCATTCTCTCTTAATTTTCTCTTTTCGATATTGTCAATATAATTTTACACACGGACTAAAATATGACGCTTGAATTTGATTTTAGTGGTCACAAAATTGTGGACGAAAAGTCTGTGGACGTAAAAAAAGTGGACATAAAGTCCGTGTACCGACTCAATAAAAATAAAAGAAAAAATTTAAAACAAATAACTATAACATTGAACACAAAAATCATTTGATAAAATATTTGTTCCGAGACCAAAAGATAACTTGAACCGTTCTTCTGAACTCTGACTAAAATTTGGACCGATTAAAGCGTTAAAATTGCTTTAGAAAGAGGTGACTCTTATGAATGATAATTTTTGTATGATTTATTTTTCTAGATAAATTGCAGCAACGAGGAAACCAAGTGGAACTGGAAATGGGCAAGACGGCGTCAAACGTAAGTAGAACGTACTTGACAGTTATTCAGCAAATTAAAAAAAGAAAAATATGTGATAACGATTAGATATACTATTTATAATTTTTTTCTTTATTTAATCAAATATACAAAAATAACTTTTACTTAAGCGACAATGATACAATTCAGATCTATTAGAGAAAGTAACTTTAGACTTTCCATTATGAGTTTCCAACATCAGAATTTGATGCTAAATATTTAATCCATAAGTTTCCTCTTTGTCTTTTAGTCTTTGTAAATGGTGAGAGGACAGCGAGAGATGGAGAAATTTAGAATACGCACAGATTTTCAAATAAAAGAACCTAAGGACCATCAAAAGCCTCTGGTGACGCAGCTCTGTAAATTTTTTCCTTTAAAAACACTGGGAATTATGAATGAATTAGTTGAATCTAAAGTAAATTTTAGTGCTGTGTCTGAAGATGACCTCAGTTTAATTCCTTTGACCACTCATTTTCCGGAATGACAATTTATTTTTAAAAACAAAATTGAGGAAAATTAAATTTTTTGGAAAGTTAGTGCGTGATAAAGATAAACAAAGGCCATTTTCGGATTCATCAGCCCAATTAGAAACTTACATAGACGTAAATCGCATGGCTAAAATACTTTCCTCGTTGTCTGATGACGAGGATTCTCAGTAAAATGTCACAATCCCAATCCACCCATCGGTTGGTTACCACGGTACTTATGAAATTACCCTGATCATACTATCAAAATTCAATCAAAAACACCGCAGTCTGTATGAACCGGAAATGACATAACTACCTGTCCACCGATTCATATACAGCCGCCTGCTAAATATTGACGGAAATAGACGGTTGTGACGTGACGTTGTTTCCGATTTACATTAACTGCCCGACCTTGAGATAACAACAAAATTATGTACAATTAAATTTTCAACAAAAAACCATACACCCTTGAGTGGACCGAGAAATACACTTTCAGCGGGCCGATTATTGAAATTGATAGACAAAGCAATAGACAAAGAAGACATAGAGAGTATGGAGCAATCCTATCGGTTGGAATGGGCGGTTCCAATAGACTGAAGGAGAAAATTATAACTAACTATAGGGTTTCTCCTGGGATATTGACAACAGTATTGATATTGTGACCAGAACTATAATGATAGTGTACACTGGAAAAAAAAACACATTGTATCTAGAGTCCAGACTCTTGGAAACATTGACAAGAAAAAATACTCTTGATTCAATCAGATTTTTGCTTAAATCAAAAGGAAATCCGCTCAAATTAAGAGGCTTGGTTCTTGATTTAAGCTTAAATCTGATTGAATCAAGAATTTCTTTTCTTGTCGACGATTTTAAGAGTCTGGACTCTAAATCCAATGTGTTTTTTTCCAGTGTGTAACCACAGCTTTTTTCTCCGCCTTTTCCAGGAAATGGAAGGACCGGCCGGAAATCAGCGCACCGCGGCTCCTTAACCCGTGCTTCCTGGAGGGCGCCAAGTGGGACAACGTCATCCTCTCGGTGCCGGACCCGGAAAAATCCCGGCCGGTGGCCCCGCCCCGCCGGAAACGGAAACGACTCCCGAACCCGGACGCAACGGCCTACCACGGCTCCTTCCCGGACTTCCTGCAGCAGGCGCGGTGCCTGGACCTGGGCACGGACACCTCCATGTCCCTCTCGTCGCTGGACCCCCTCGGACCCCGAACCCCTCGGACCCCCAGGTCCGCCCTTGGACCCCGCAGGCGTCTTTCCTCCGATTTATCCGACTGCGACTGCTCCATCAGCTCCAGGACCTCACTAGCCTCCATCCCGGTCACCGACGAACTCTACCGGAAACACCACTTCCTGTCAATTTCCGGTTCGAGCTTCAACGTCACGCAAGCCTCCCTCCTCAGCGCATCCACTTCCTCCTTCAAGAGGACCCAGAACCAAAAATACACCATCAAACGCCGCAGCACGCTCCAGAATATCACCAAAAAGTACAACCTGACCCTCTCTTTGCCCAACTTGAACCTCATCAGTAAGTTGAGCACGAGACCCAGTCGCGATTTCACGTCGTTGCCTGATTTGAGATGCGGTGACGTCAGCAAGGAAGCTGTTATGTACGCGGTGATGTACGGGATTAAAAACGAGTTTACAGGGAATACGAGAGGGAGGGTATCATTGAAGGGGTTGCGCGCCAGGCCTAGAAGGGACAGCGAAGGGGCACGGAGGGGGTTCCCCGCTAGGTCGGCCTCTCAGCTCAGTGTTTCCAGGTTTGGGTCCAACCTCACAGGGACGTTCCGGGAGAGTAGCGCCATCTGCGAGGACCAAGAGGAAGTAACTGACTGCCAAAACGGAAATGAGGATGATCACCTTCGGTGGCCAAAATCCAGGAGTAACTGCTCGTCTGATCAAGACGAAAGTAAAATATGCTCGAATGACAGGGGGAAGCTGTCCGAGGAAAACAGTGTTTGGTCGAATAAAAATGATCTCAGTTCACAATCAGTAGACAACGAACCCTCGCTCAATTTAACCGGATCTACGAATCGCGACTTAGTAGACAAGTCCGGTGTGTCTCGGACTGCGGACCCAACGGAAACCAAAGTTCCTTCAATTTCATCTCAAGCAACCCTCCAAACAGAGAATTCTGATGCCTCAATCGCCGCTCATAAAACACTGACGTCACAGTGCCCGGAGGAAACGAAAGATATGTGTTTCGACGGCTCCGATAAAGAGAATTTGGACACGAACCTCTTGCTCAAGTATCGGAACCTAAAAAAGTCGCCGCGGTATCTGAAGACTTTCCGGCGCCTGAGTCAGCGCCAGACGGAAAAAGTCGGATGTCCGTTGTTCTTCGACAAGCATCATTCCTGCACATGCCTGCGCCCAAGGGTCAAAGGTCAGAGGTTCCAGAGTATGAGCGCTCTGCCCGCTGCGAAGCCCGTGCTGAGGAACGGACTGAAAAAATCGCTCAGCGTCAACCACGCCCAGCCAGTCTGGAAAACGAGCCGTTGTGACGTCACACAAAACTGCTGCGGAACCCGAAGCGATAAAAATAATAACTGCAGAGGAAGCAGTCCCATGATTTTCGAAAATACTTTCGTAACGTCCATCCCTTACAAGCCGATCGTTTCGGGTTGTAATGGGGGTGAGCGCTTTTTAGTCAACGGTTTCACACCATCAGTCACTAATATACTGCAAGAAGAACTTAACTGCAATTCGAAGCAAGCCGAGGTAGATTTTCCGTCGCTAGTAAATGGAGGTGAGCGTATTTATTTCAACGGCTTCGCACCCTCCGTGGTTGATTTGATGCAAAAGGAGTCTAACTGCGATTCGAGACGAGCTGCTATGGATTCTCCATCCTTAAGCAATGAATATGCTGCAGTGAATGGTTTTAATACTGATTTGGTGCAGAAAGAGCTTAACTGTAATTCAAGGCAAGCTGAAACAGATGGCTCATCTCGAATCAATGGAGGTGAGCGTATTTTAATAAACGGTTTTGTACCCTCGGTTGCTGATTTGAGGCAAGCAGAAAATGACGATCACACGTCTCTAGTCAAGAAAGAAGCAGATGACCAAAAACTAGATGAATCGATTCTGAACAGGTCAAGTGAAAATCGACACGTTTTAGATACCTTAGGGCAACGGGATGCTGATACAAGCACACTGTTGGTCGATCCTTCTGTCAAAAGAGATCAAGTAGTTACGCTGAAGAAGTCGCCCAAGGAAGAGTTTATTGATCATGAGTCCGGTGTCATTCAGATTTTGAGGACGAGGTTAACTGAGAAAAGGTCTGGAGCGACGTTGAAGCAGGTGACGGATTGTGTGACGTGTGACGATTCGGTGGTGGACTTCGGTGACTCGTTCGTGGATGACGTCGTGAAAATTGACGTCACACCGCCCAGTCGTAGTTCTTCGACCTCCGGATCTCTGTGCGAGCTGGAAGACGATATCTATGACATGCTAGTGATTGCCTCGAACCAGCAGACGGCTGAAGTGAAAAACTGACGTAATTTGCTCCATTATCGTTAAAATGACATATCTGAAAGAGTATGGCATTTTTGTTGACCTATCTATTCCTCAATGACATTTTGTGACAAGATTCTCGGTTCGAATCCTGGTGGCAGCGACAATAATTTTCACGGAATTGACGAGTGGGTCAGGTGAAACATATTTCTCTTGACCTGACCTGGCCTCATAATTTGAAAAGTCTAGAGCGTGGTTGTGTCTAAACCCTGTGGTGTCCCTGGTGACATATTTTTGACAGAATTCATGCCACATCAATAAACAGCAAAAAAGGAAACAATAATTGAAAAAAAAAAATTTCACTTTTTTCCTGCCAGTTTTTTGGCTTCTATTCCGTGAAGAACTAACGGCCATCTACGGACGACATTTAATGTTTGTAGACACCAGGGGAATAGATGCATCCATTTTCTAAGCCTTTGACTGTCAGTAACCAACTGCTAAGCGGGGTCTGTTTCGATTTCGACTGATTCACTGTGAATATGTGATCCAATTTGATTTTTCAAGCCGCAAATATTCTATTAGACATAATTAAAATGTATCGATGAGGTTTCGTTCGTTGAATACTATGTCGAAGGAAGGTCGGAAGTGAAACTTCGCAACAACACATAGGACAATATATGCTCACCATCGTTGTACTGAAGCATGGTTAGCTGTATAACTGTATACGACTCATATAAAGTGTAAAAATGTAAGTAATTGTCTCCGATTTTCTTATTTTCTTAATTTTTCTAAATTTCTTCTTCTTGTATTATTTATCTTGCTTAGAAAAATTCATTTTTAAAAAAGATACACAAATCTAAATTGTTGTTTTGACTTTATTCAATTCCCTATCTCCTGTTTTCAGGCGCAAATGAAATGAAAAAGATCAGGAATAATAAAATAAAAACAATTTTGTCTTTAATTGGAAATGAGAGGATTTGCCTCCTCGCTGCAATTGGTCAACTTTCTCTTTATGTTCATGAAATCTGGCAAAATAACCGTGAAAAAATTTCAAGAAGAAATTTAGAGACTATGAGCTCAAGTTTTTGAAACTCTATTCAACATCAACCAAATTACAGCATTTTAAACATAGTCTTTTTTTTAAGTTTTGGCCCATTAATAGATAGGGAGTAACCTAAAGGTTCTTCACTGGTACTTTTAAGTGGCTAATAAAACCCAAAACTTTGGATCCCATAAATCTTACCTTTCCCCATTTTTATACTTGTACAAAAATTGTTTCCTCCCAAATTGCATCGAAATAGATGTTTTAAAATCATTTTTGCACAATTTTATTATTCAATATAATGATCGATCAATAGTAGTGAGGTAAATCGAATAAAATACTAATAAGATAATATAATATTCCATTCAGTTTTCCGTTACGCCGAGGAAAAATATTTTCGCAATAAAAAACAGACGTATTACTCTGAGTAAAATGTTAATTGGGTATGAATTAAGACTCGTAATAGGTCAAGATTTTCCTGCTAGTAAAGAGGTTGTTTGATTACATCATAGCCTTTCTCTGCGACGAGGACCATGCCATGGCAGTTTCTTTTTCTGAGTATACTCTCTGTGTAAGCAGATGATTTCACAAAGAATGCGAGAAATAAATAAAAAAAAAAACTATGTAATATGTTAGTTTCATTTAGAAAATAAGAAAATAGATAAAAAAGGGAAAGAAAAAGAAAAGAATATAACGCAGGAATTGGCTGGACACTTGAAGTATCGGTCAGTGAAGCAGTCAAAGCAGCATTCTAAACGACGAAGAATCAGCGAGAAAGCCCGAATTGTACGGAGGAAAAGAAATAAACCCTCAGGAGAAAGATAAGGGGTATTTACTCGCAACATTAATAAGACGCGCGAGAGATCGTTTACTCGTTGGCAAAACGGAGCGGCAGACGCGAAAAATTATCCTAGAGGCACGCCACTCATTTAACAGTCAAGAAGTGCGGGGAGGTATCTGAGAAATTGAAGGAGCTTATCGCTGTCTGCTCTCATAGAATCGGCGCGAGTTGTAAGTTACAGCGCTCGTTTGCAGACGTCACAGGTGTTCATAAACTTCTTTTCTCCTCCGTCTAAACTGGCTCCTTTACATTTTTACCCGATAACCTCTCCTTTATTTCCCTTATCATCGAGCAATTACTTGTTTTTTTAAAACTATTTATTCTAACGGCCTTGAGAGGGCCCCACGGCGCGAATTTACAATATGCTTTCCTCGTTTTCACGGTGCTTCAGCGCTTGATCACACTTGTTTGATTTCTTTCAAGAGAAATACGTTCGCATGATTCAGGGGAAACAAAGAAAATCAAAGCAAACGCAATTCATTGAATTGAATATAGGTCTCGGGTTCATAAATTGTGTATTTTTAGCCTTGTTTCCCGTTTTTTCATCCTTGTTTTTCCACTGTTATTATTGTATCTTCTATATTTGTATCTAAAGCTGGGCCAATACGGGTGAAATTAAGGACTTTCTCGGTAAAAGATTGTATGGGACTTGCAATGCTGATAAGATTGCGCAATTTTTTATAGCGTTTGCGGCAGATGAAATTAATTCATATGATTTACTACCCTACAGTAGTGATCTTACGCCCTTACCGAAAAATGTCTCAATTGGACTGCATTTCGCAGTAAAAACAATTCGACATGCTAGGGTTTCAGTGAAGGTTGTGTTACTCCATAGTATAATTTTCCTCAATTGAAACGATTATTTTCCAAACCACGTAAGCGCCAATCTCTATTTTATGTTAGAGGGATTGTTTTTTCTTTGTTCTCTCTGGTATTATCAAATCAATCATACCTAATTGCAAATTAGCCTTTTAAAAGAACATACATTTATTGGAATTCGAAGATTGTCAACAGAGCGAATTAAACGGGGTTTCTTCTTTTCCACACGTTCGCAATTTTGGCACTTACATGATTCGGAAAATAATCGGTTCAATGGATAATTTGTACACAAAAATTTTATTGCTTCATCCGAAAGATATGATAAGCTGAGTTAGCAGTATTTTTCATAATTTTTTCTGAAATGGGAAATTGGAGAAAAATAGATTTGAAAGTGAGAAAATGTGCCGCCTTGTGACGTTATCTAGCGGCATTTTCCATTTAAACACATGTATTTTGGCAGATTAGGTTATTCTGTCATGATTCCTCCGATAATTGTTCAATTTACAAACCAAGGATATCCTCGTGCTCAATTTTTTTTAGCAGATTCATATTCAACATGGAGTTTAAAAAAATTCAGACTCTTGCAAATTCTCCATTGCCGAGTCTCGAAAAAACCCTGTCTGGAGCCAAGTGGCATTTTACCTCCAGATTCTGATTTGATCTCGGTCTTCTCCATGCAGGCTGAGGACCGGCGTCGGAGGTGAACGAACGGGGAGCCCTCGCCACGGAGAAGTAAGTTCGAGTTCCGTCGATATCTCCGTTGAATTTTTCCATAAATAATCCGAAGGCAGAGGAATATCGAGACTCGATTCGATTACTATGGAATTTCGATAGCTCGGCAGGTCTGCGTGCGGAGCGGACCGGGGACCTTGGGGCACCCGCAGCCGCGGGCGGATGGAGTGGCGACCGCGCGAACCCGGGTCGGGAAAGCACGAGCCCCGAATTCGATAGCTGCGCCGAGGACGCCCGGTCACGGTCAAACCGCGACTAAAGGTCCACTCTGCCCCGCACCCGAAAATTAGCAATGTTTACCGCGCTGATAAGACGCCACCAAAAAATGGCAATTTCCACGATCCGTCATCGTCCGCTGGAACAAGGACCTTGCTCCACTAAAATTCGAAATAGGGCTGTTCCAAGATCCAGGCATCGCCTTGAAAATACATGTTTCCGAAGTCGTTTTAACCAAAAAACCGTCTCGGAGCTTTTAAAAGCTCACTACTGCACCAAAAAAAAGTGAAGTTTATTAAACACTTTGAATGTAAAAAAATTGTGATCTTAAAAAATGTTGATTTACCCGCCGCAGCAGTTAGTTTTGCTTCTCAGCATTGCTGAAGTAACTTCTGTAGCGGATAATTCCATATTTACTAAGTTCTCGCACATTTTTTTCACAACCAGAATGTTAAATCAACTTCACTTTTTTTCGGTGTGCTTTCATGATTGAGAAAGAGGCTCAAAATGAAAGTTATAAGAACAACACGTGTCGGCTAAAAGTTTATGACACGCCGTCATAAGATGAGGCGACGACTTTGAGTTTCAATCACTTTGAATCTAATACAGAATGGCCGCCGTGCAATTCAAATCACGATTTCGACAAAAACTCGACAAAGTCGTTCCACTGGAAATTTTCTCTCATTAACGCCTGATGCAGATGCAAAACTTGAAAACTTCCGAATGTGTCTGCTGCACGAAATTATGTACCTAAATTCAAGTGAAGCCCATCGTTCCATGTCTTGGTAAAATCACGATGGACACAAAAAAAAGGTGTGAAATTCACTCTTTAGGGAGTAATTTGTGTAGTTTGTTAGACGTTTTTGCAAATTTTCCAAGTCCGCGGGCAGTCACCAGCGACTAGGTTCTTCCAGAGAGACTCGTAAGAAAAGTGAACCGATATAAACAACATTAATAGAAAATAATATTATTAATCTCGCAAACCTTTTCCGCTTGTGCCCTCCTCACGTCTCTGTCTTCAAAGTTGAATGAACGTAGCTTTGATACAATGGAAACCAGACAAAAAGTTTGTAATAGTTTGCGAATTTGAATGTTTATCTAAATAATGTTTTTTTTGCATTACTCACCAGGCAAACTTGATTGCTGGCCACTATAAAAAACTGCGAGTTAGGGGTCTTACAGATCACGTGCAATAAAAGGAGAGGATTTCAAACTTTGTTGGTGTCATCATCGTGATTTTAGTGCAATTTACTTAAATCAAGTCTATTCACTTAACTGTATCTCTAGCATGCAATAGACCAGTTACATCCGAAGAAATGTGACAGGTAGGTATCTCGTGAAACCTCGAAACGACAAAAATGTTGTTATGACCCTTCTACTCAAGGCTACAGTGTCGTGCTGAGGAGCCACTGTATGAGCCTTCAGATGTTGCCCTAAATTTCCTTTGAAAAAACGCGAGTTTTCTTGGGAGCTTGAGAAATATTTGCCTCCTAGATCATTTGCTGGAGAATTAGACTGGTAATTCGACCCATTCAATCTGAAAATTTCAAGAAAATACATTTGTATTCTCCCTAAAAAATAAACGTTTTATTTAAGGGAATTTGGCAACATTCGAAAATTTTTCTGGCGCGGCAGGCCTGAGGAAAATTTTCGAGATCGGATCTGGTAACCTTTATTTAAAATGAAATTTGGCTTTGCAAACAAAACGACTGACATGAGTCGAAGACAGAAAAAGTGTTAGGGGTCATCCCCTAAACTTATGATACTACCAGGGCCGGATTAAGGGGGTGGCCACACTGTTAAAAAAAATTAGCTCAGAGCACGACCTATATAAGGAAGTCGCTCGGAAGTCACTCATCGCTCAGGGCCAATTTCCACGGAGTTGAAAATCTCCGACGTAAGTATGGAAATGCTGAGCTAAAGTAACTCAGGCATAAGGACGGGCTGCGTCGCTGGCGACTGCCCTCCCCTTACCCCTGGCATCCGTCTCATACCCCGATCCGTTTCCCCCCTCTCCTCCCCTCCCTCTCCTCTCCTCCCCTCCCTCTCCTCCCTCCCTCTTCTGCCTTTCCCTTCCACCTGTAACTGCAATGTATGTTCTTTTTTTTTGAAAAGATGTGAAGTTGTACTGCAAATCAAATCATGTTTGAGGATCTTTCGGGCCAATATCCCACAAATTCGGAGCCAAAGTGTTTTTTGAGTTGCAAACACGCGACGGAAAATCAATATTTGTCATAGCTGAACAGCTGTCTCCAGTAATTTCGAAAACGCTTTTAGACAAAGAAAAGTTTTATAGATATTAAGTATTTTGTGAACATAAATTCAGTGTAAGCTTAAAAAATAAATATACACGATAACAGAATTCTAACTTTACTGGACGCCACGCCATACCCATATAATCAGGCTTTGATGCCCAAAAGTATCATACGAGCTAAAAAGAATAAATGACAATTTCGTAGAATTATACTGCAAAATTGTATTCAATATACCTGAGGTTTTTCGGCATACAGTGCCATCTCCAGACGCATAACGAACCTTCACCAAGGAAACTACAGATACTTGACAAGGAAGTACAACTAAAAGCAAATAATCCATTAACGGGAGCAACATGATGGTTTAAAATAGGGAATAATCTAAATAAACTACCATGCACATGCAAATCAACAAGCGATAAGGAATGAAGCGATAAAAGAGAAAGAGATACAATTTTGCAGTATAATGGTACGAAATATGTATTTTTCCTCTTAAACCTAGTTTCATAAAACTGCTGCCCTTACCGGCGTTTTCAAAATTCCTGGAGGTAGGCTATTCTACTAGGACGAATTTTTATTTTCCGTCGTGTTAGGAACTCAGCGAACACTTTGGTATGGGATCCATTGGGTATTATCCTGGAAAGCCTTCAAACAAAATTTAATTTGCTGTACACCTTCACGAGTCGCAACTAATCACTGTTCACGCAAAAGCCACTGGCTGGAGACTGACGCCGTCGCAGTCGTGAATTCCAGAATAAGATTGTAACGGCCAATGCGCGTTGATGATGCGCAGAAAATTATAGCTCTGTTTCTTCTTAAGTATCTTAAATCTGAGTGGAAAGTATCTCTCCCGAGCATATAGCTGTCTTTCCTGGAGTGACACATGCTACAAGGAGCTTCCCATGCCAGAGCGAGCTATCTAACTCACCGCAAAATTTTGTCACTCGATGCTCCAGGCAGGATAGCTCCATGATATTTCACTCAGGCCACTCAGGCCAGAATATTTTTTAACAGTGCACATGGGCCGCGGCCCATGGCGCAAATCGAAGGGGCGGCAAAAATTTGCAATTTTGTAGGTATAAAAAAATTCGGATTTAGAAAAACAAAATTACAAACGAGAAAAGGCAACAAAATCTCTCATTTCCTGAGAGTATAGTAATTTCTAATTTTGTCATCTCTCAGTGGTCAAGAGACAGCACCTTCAATAAGTCGAGTTAAGAGAGACCAAACACACAATTTGGCCTGGAACGGCGCGACTTAGAGAGAAATGATAACGAGGACTTGAGATGAAAAGGAGAGGCCCTCAGCGCGGCGATCGGCATGTAACACATATTAGCGCCTACAAGAATGCATGAATACTTCACGCATTGCGCCAAACACAGTGCGGTCAGCGTGAAACGCATAACGCCTACAAGACTGCGTGAATATTTCACGCGTTGCGTCCAACACAGTGCGTTCAGCAGCGGCCGCCGTGAAACACATAGCGCCTTCAAGACTGTCAGAATACTTCACGCATTGCGCCAAACACGGTGCGGTCTGCGCGGCGCGGCGTGACGGCGGAAGTTAAAATCATTGATCCACATTTATGTTTGCTCTTTCATAATTTTTTCGTTCATTTCTTATGAATGGAAGGCCTTGTCCACACAGAGATAGGTTTATGGAACTTAACTTTCGCGCAAAGTTCCGTGAACTTTTGCTAGTAAAGTTCCGTGAACTTTTGCTAGTAAAGTTGACAGGGCTTTCCCAAAAAATGTGTTCAACACGAGTAAATGCGTCTTATGCGCCCCTCCCCCGCTGGCACGTTCATTTGATGGTTTTCATCGAGTTTCAAAACGAATGAGAAGGGGGCAGCGAAATACAGGAGGCCCATGGGCGGCAAATGGGTAAATCCGGCCATGGATACTACCCCAATTTTTTGAATGGTACGGACGTTTCCAATTATGTTATTAGTAACGAAACAATACCGTAACATTTGAGTTAGTAATCTTATGAATTGGGGTACTGGTAGTACCACATAATTAATTGAAAAGTTCAAGTTGGCACTTAAAACCCTACTTCTTTTTTCCGTGCAATGAGACGAATCAAAACTCCCTTCAAGAAACCTCATTTTGAGGGTTGCACAGGTTTGTATTGTCTATTAAAAATAGATGACGAGAATTTGAATGACGTGGATGCTCAAAATCTTACACAGGGAGAGATCGGACTTGTTGGTAATTCTGAGGTAAGGTCTTGGAGCTTTTAGGGCCCAAAAGGGTAGCCAACCTATGGATTCAAATTATTCAGTGTGAATTATTTTTACAATTGTTGCGACCCGTTGTTAGTTAATCAGGTATTTGACCTACTTTTTGTATTTTACTCATTTTTGCAAAAGAAGACTTATTTTTGAACCTTCCTGGCCATCTTGGTTTTAAACCGGAATATGCAGGTTGACAAAGACATTTTCTGTGTTAGAGGGTTGGCTGCCCTTTTGTGCCGGCTCTAAGAGCTATATATTTTTTGACATGTTCGGACTCTCCCTACATAGATACTCCAATAGAAGCTCGAGCCTAGACGAGCTCGAGCCTGCCGTACTAAGGAAGAACGCCGTATGAACATTCAAGAGTTGCCAAATTTCCTTCGATAAAATGTTTTTTCTTGAGGAAAGTTATACATATTTTCCCGAAAAACGTGTCAAGAACTTCAGGTAAAATTGCGAACAAAATTATCTGAATAATTGGAAGAAAAATATGTAAAAATTTTCCCGAAAATTCATGAGTTACCTGAAGAAATTTGGCAACGCCTAAAGGTTCATATGGCGTTTTTCCTTAGCACGGAAGATTACTAGAGCGGTCTCATGACATGGCGGGGAAAAACGAGAGCACTGATATGACGTCACACGTATGACGTACGGGTCCGAGATCCCCGACCGGGGCTCCAGAAGGGGGGGGGGGAGGCTCCCGGGAGGAGGCGGTGCGGAGGGGCGCGGGAAAAGCGGCCGTGAAACGATAAGCCGGAACGACGTATTTAAAGCGTACTGCCGGCGCTAAGTCTCCCAGTAACGAGTGCTGGCTTAATCACGTTTTAGTTGTGTTTTTTCATTGCGCGCGGCTCCTGATCGCGATCGAAATGAGAGCATATCTTGTGTTGACCATATGCAGCGTTACTGGCGCCCTCGCTAGCGTCATCCCACCCCCCGCATTCGTCGGACCAAGTAAGTTTCAAACGAGCTAAGGAAAAACATCCTAACAACATCCAAACGTTGCCAAATGGTTTTGGCGCTAAAAAAACCATTCACTGGTAAAAAAAACCTCTTGGACCAATGCCGCATTGCATTGACTTAAGAGTGCAGTTTCTTGTCGCCGGATTAAAGAGTTTTGAACTCTTGTTTCAAGCGGATTTTGCATTGAAACAAGAGTCCAGACTCTTAAATCCGGCGACAAGAAACTGCACTCTTGAACCAAGAGGTTTTTTTTACCAGTGTTTGTTCGGTGGGACTCACCATGCTTGAAGGCTTTTTCATGTAACAGCTGGGTATATTACCTACATTTTAAGGCGGAAACAAAAAATGTATGTGTACTCATTTTTATTAAACCGCTAAAATCTGGAAAAAATTGGAAATTTACGATTTTCACGAATTTTTTTAGGGATAAAATGTGGTGCGGTAAATTTGATTTTTTACCCGAGAATTTGATTGGTCTTATGTGTATTCGGTGCAATTTTGGTGCATTCTCATCGAAAAACGCGGGAGATTTAAAATGCAACGTGAAAATACCCCAAAATTCCCCGAAAATGGGTTTTTCGGGGCTGGACGGGAGTGGTTGGGGTCAGGAGTAAAAAATTGCCCAAAACCATGTTTATAGGACCCCCTGATCATGCTAAAATCAAGATAAAATAAATTCTTGGCGGCAAACCCATGAATCATAATTCTTGAGCCAAGCACGTTACCGAAGCATCCTCTTGTTCAATGGGTTGATTGTTGTAACTGATAGACAAATCTATAGACAAAGAAGACAGGAATGACATGGAGGGATCCTGTTGGTGGAATCGGGTGGCTGAAATGGATAAAGGAGGTGTAGGCAACAGACTAATTAACGGTAACCCATGAGAGACCCTACAGTTAGTCTTTCATTTTCTCCCTTAGTCTTTAGGAACCACCCGTGTAAACCAATAGGATCTCCCTCCCTGTATCTTCTTTGCCTATCGCTTTGCCTATCAATTTTAAGAATGAGCCGGCACACAGTGAATTGAGTCAATCAGAGAGATCGGACATGACTTTTTTGATTAGAACTACAAATTTTGATGTTTAAATCGTTACATTTAAAATTGTAAGAGGTGTATCTGGAAGAAATTTTCACAAGGAAACCTATGGAACCGCTTTGAAAACCCCAAATTTGTTTAAAAACGGAGTTATGAGCTTTTAAAGTTTCCAAATTTTGTCCGACCTTTCCAATTGGCTCGATCCAGTGTGCGGCAGTGTTTGGTATCGGCTGAGCCCTGAACGACTGACCGCTTGGTATCCGTAACTTTCCTCGAAATGAGTTTGAAATATATTTAATAATCAAATAAAAAGGGGATTTGGCAACTCTGAAATGCTCATACGACGTTTTGCCTGAGCGCGGGAGAGACGGCGCCGAGAGCGGGTTGTTTTCATTGTTGGCTTGATTCCGCTTCTTGTCCCATGTCTCCTCATGCATGTCATTGATTTCTCGTTAGGAGACGCGTCCCATGTTGTGCGCGGCTCATCGAAAAATCATCTCCCTTATTGCGCCCGTCCAGGCTTTTAATGATGACGTCACATTTCGCTATAGTCGAGGACCGCTCCAACCCGGGGCTAACTAAATGAAGGCTGAGGGCTGCCGTCCAGGAACGCGCTAGGTTCTATCGGGGATCATGCTTCAAATTTTCCGAGCTCTATTAAACATGGATTTTTGAAACACGGAAAAAACATCAGTGGAACTAAGTGCATTGTGACGTGAGCCCTGTGATGCATAGATTCTTATGGGACTCAGTTCTCATGTCTTAATGCACATAGTTCCGTTTGATAGAAATACGTCCAGTTATAAGACTTCGCTTCGTGTGGGACACTCAAGATCTAGGTTTATGTCGCCACACAAACCGTACCTCGGCTCAGCTAAACGAGAATTCTCTTTAAATAAGAATCGTACGGCTGCGAAAATTTCGGTTTTCGTGACCGAAAAATTTGGTTACATACCCCGGAAAATTTCATATCCCATACGACTTACGAGCCAACGTTTTTTTCCTCCGTTATAAACGTTAAAAAGTCATGAGAGAGAAGGAAAACAAAAGCTCAAACATTTTCCACATGTATTTATTTAAAAAAAACAAGTCAACAAAATAAAAACAGCTCATAAGTGGTGCGATTTATCGCATTATTCGTCTAGCGTTTGTGCAAATTGGAAAATGTTAACCACGCACCAGCGCCAAATCCTCCTACACGATTACGTGGTTTAATGGCTGAATGAGACATTTTTCTCTCATTTTATCAGCTATGTCTCAAATTTTGTAAAAACGGATGAGCACACATGCTGCCGTGCTAAGGAAAAACGCCGTATGAACCTTCAGGCGTTGCCGAATTTCCATTGATAAGGCTCAAATTTCCTGGTAACTTTATGAATATTTTCCTCTCGATTTTTCAGATAATTTTGTACGAAATGTTACCTAAAATTCCTGAAAATTTCAAGGGAAAATATTCGTAACTTCCCTAAAAAATAAATATTTTATCGAAGGAAATGTGGCAACTCTCGAATGTTCACACGGCGTTCTTCCTTAGCTCGGCAGCATTAATGTGCGCGTATTAAAAGAGTAAGGTTCCTTTGAATCTCAAAAGGCGACAAACTAGTAACAATACTTTTTAATTGGTGCAGCGATGTAATGTGGCGTCTAATGACGTTCATGAACTCAATTAGACTTGTCCAAACAAGCCACGATAAATTTGGATGTATCCTGAGGTGATCAGAGATACATGTAGACCTATATTGGAGATAACAATGTATTAGCAATCTATTTGTCCTGGACTTTTTGATAAAAATTGGTAGATAGGGAGTAGGAGCAGGGACCACACGAATCGTCGCACTTATCTAATTGTCGCAACTGCATTAGTATAAGCGGTGTTTTATCAACTTGCCGTGAGACTCTTACAAAACTTCATTGCATGCTACATTACATAGATTTCAAGATTTTTACCTTCTTGCAAAAGTCATTAAATTATCATAAAACATGATTAGTTGTGTTCGTAAATTGATTATGTCCCTTCAAAACAAATTCACTGCAACCTCATCTCTGGAAACCACTGAAAAAATTGTACAAGGACGTAAATGGAAAGAGATGATATAATGGGTTATTGGGTCTGGGAATATATAAAACGATTATAGGTACGTTCACACTATACTTTATTAATTTCATTAATATTTAATCACTGATATTTCAAATATAATTACTTTCAGTTTAAAATCAATTTCATCAAATCATAAGCCTCTTATGGTTTGATATTATTTGAATCGATAGTGTTCGAAATTCTACATCATTAGAATTTTTTTTTGATTTCACATTTAAAGGAAAGTGGTCCGTATTATAATAAATGAACAAATATACTGAACAGCTCGATAATTATATCAAATATTTCAACTGAACCATTAAGTTCTTCATCCGTACCCCTGATATGTCAGTTTGTGCTAAATACACCTTTACTGATGATTCATCTTTGTATTAGATGGTTTCATAAAATGTTTCATGCACTTTTTTCCTTTTTGAAAATATAAGAATCAATAAATAAATGAGATAAATAAAATGCTCTTGAATTATAGGTAGAACCGATCATTCCATCCGCCCCTGTGGCCTAATGGATAAGGCATCGGTCTCCTAAACCGGGGATTGTGGGTTCGAGTCCCACCAGGGGTAATATGCATTTTATTAAACATCCATTGTGTTTCCGAATAGAATGAAGAAAATAATCACAAGAAATACGAAGAAATAAAAATTGCAATCTAAGACTCAATATTCGAACATAAATGAGACGATTTTTTTAAGCCTCCCTTCTCTTAGATTTCATTTTCGGTTTCTTATTTTAGCCTTTTTTCTCAAAATTGAGAATAGTGAGGACTCGACTCGTATGAGATTTATGAAGGTCAGTTATTTGTGATCATTGTTGAGTCAATGACATGAAAACGATTGATGTAATGTTTATGATGTTGCTGCTGGGATTTAAGTCTCATAAATATAATGGCCTTGCTTTGAAAAACAAAAAGAAACAAAACAGAAAAGCAAGATGTTTCAGCAAAATTAACCTTCGAATGTCAGCAAATTAAATTAAGTATTATCTTGCTATGACATTTACATTAAAAGTATGATAAGTCAATCAAAGTCTTAGAAGGGATGCTAAGTAAATAATAAAAAATCGAGAAAAGTAAAAATAAGAGTCTCGTAAAAGAGTAGAAAGAACCATATAGGTATTGCCAACATTTTTCACTTATGAATGTGTACAAATTAAACATTTAAATTTAAAATTTAAGAGAAATTTAATAAAAAAAACTGAGAAAATTGAGAAACATATCCGAAAAACAAGCTTATTTAATTCATACAATTATCATAACTGTTAACTGAAAATATCATACGAGACTTTAATACAATTTTCCAGGGAGAAAATGAGAAAATGGCTGCAGCGGAAATTTGTTAGTTCTCTTTTATAAAACTTTCAGTCCTTCAGCCGCAAAAATTTTTAAAATCTGTAACCATCATGATATTTCTAATTTGAAACGCAATTGACGAAAAGTAAAAGTACGATTACCCCTGGTGGGACTCGAACCCACAATCCCCGGTTTAGGAGACCGATGCCTTATCCATTAGGCCACAGGGGCGGTTGAGCTGCGACACTCTCTCTGAAAAACATGTATTTTTTCTGATTAAAAAGCAACAAGAGGCAGAAATCATATTTATTTAAGCACGTATCATCTGTTTATATGATGACAAATAGCTGATAAAAAAAAAAAAAAAAAAAAAAAAAAAAAAAAAAAAAAAACAGTAAATTTCCACACACACAGAAAAAAATTGCCTCCATGCATACGTATGTCTCCCCCTGCCGAAATACGAGGGCCTATTCTCCATTTGAACTACACACTGCAATTGGACTAAATTTTGCAATTCGGAACTATAAATTCTAGCCCGGTTCAAAAAGAACGTATGTGGCATTAGATT